CTTAATCTAACAATTAAAATTTAGTAAATATATTTTTGTTTGGTTTTTTTTTTTTTTAAATCTTTTGTCATTTGGTGATTTGCTTGTTTTTAATTTGGTCTTTGATTACTAATTCATTTTTTTTTGTTTTACTTTCAGATCTCTCAGGCTATTGGCATTTAAATTTCGACAAACAATGGTTACCTGGTTTCCAGATACTTATTTTTCCAGGATTTTTGGACGGAAAGACACATCAATTTATTGGCCAACTACGTCCAAGCTTGTGCTGGCGTGCTGTCTTCACTTTGGGCTTAACCGTCTTCCAGCCAACTATTCTACGGCTAAAACCATGCCACATAAATCTTTTTGCCGAATAAGCCCAAAAAAAAATCGGATGACCTCCTCCGTGCAACGACTTGGAGGGGCCAATGCTTGCCTTTTTAGTTGATGAGGATGTTGGCGAGATCTATACAAAAACACAAACATTCAAACACATAAAATATTACCGAATTACACTAACTTACTTTATTTTGTTCGCTCGCAGACATAAGGCACTCAACAATAAAAAACAAACACAAGACTTAATAAATTTTGGGGATTTTTTGTTTAACTTGGGGATTTTTGTTTTTTTTTTTTTGTTTTGAAAATTTGTTATAAATTATAGTCTCTCGACCAAACACCAAATAAATTTGATCGAATTTTCCCCCCGTTATGCCTTTTATACCCCCGCAGCCAGATGCCATTTTCCCACTTTTCTGGGATTCTCGCGCATTTTCCGACATTTATCATTTTTCCTTTATCTCACCTCTTGATCCCTACATCTCGACAGGGTTGTATTTGCCAGGCCTAAATTTCAGACCAGATGGCAACGCATGAATTTCTCAACCGCTGTACTGAGCTTACTGTATCCGGCTCACTTTTTTCTGGCCGGCAGCAGCAAACACATCATCTCGGATAATTGCTGCCGGTTGTGTTTTTTTTTTTTATTTTATTTTTATTTTTATACAAAAAATTATATTCACATGCAACAAAATTCGTACAAATTATTGAGTAAACGAACGAACCTATAGTTTGACAAAATATCTAGATATCAGCCTTGCAGTTTACAATAAAAAAACATTTTTTTTTTTTTTTTTTTTTTTTTTTGAAAGAATAAAAAACAAATTCAAAAGTTATTTAAATTCACATTTTATATTTGAAATGAAAAAAATAATACACATTTTCAATACTGTAAAATATTCACTTGTATTAACTTAAAATAAAAATCAAAAGCAAAATTAGTTTCAAATTTAAAAAAAATCATATTTACATTCAATTAATTTTTCTTCCTAATTTGATCCTCAAATTCCTTTGGTATAAATGTTTTCTCAGTTTTACCCTCATGTCTGACATAGTGTACAGTTTTATCCTTGGCATTAAACATAAATTCAAAGACTGTATGCAACGAACTAACATTTGCCGTCAGACGATCGACACTTTCAAGAAATTAATTTAAAAATGTTGTACACATTTCGGGTTTCCAGGCAGCACTGCACATCTAGAAGAAAAATTGGAAAATAAATCTACTCATGTTGAAATAAGCAAAAAAAAAAACATGTGAACTCACCTTTGGTATTTCATTCGATTTCAAACATTGTATTGGACTCGTGATCATCGCATTTTGATCTTTAATAGCCAAATATATTTCCCTCACATTGGACAAATAGGCTTGTAACCAATATTTTAAATATTTTTCATTTTTATTTTTAATTGTACACCACATTTGTTTGATTGATATCAGACGTGCTGAATTAATGTCGTTTAAATTATTTCTGAAAAGAACAAGAAAAAATAGAATAGTAGAAACTTTGAAACTTTTTATAAAATTTGTAGTACTACAATACACGTTCGATGGTCTTATAATTTAACTCTAATCAAGAATATATGTACATATGTAGAATTAAAAATAATAATTTCGAGGAGATGAAATGAAGAAGTCGAATCAACATAATAACTCTGTTTATACACAACTCCTCAAAATCAATATTTTAGATTCTATAAACATATAGCATGACCTACGGTTTATTTTGAGAGATCAGTAATATATTCGCATAATATATGTTTATATACCTACTTGCTTTCTTCGGTTATATTTATAGCATGGGCTCTTCCAATATAATGTAGTTTAAAATTTTCCATTAAAGCTTCGTATATTGCTACTTGAAATATATTTTCATCATTCCACATATCGGGTTCTTGTGAGGTATCTTATCTCAAAAAAAAATTCAAATTATTTCCAAACTATATTTCTATTGCACTTTTTTACTGTATTTACCTTTCAACAATAATCTACATAAACATCTATGATGTGTATTTCCCTGATTATTTGTAAAAAATTCTTCATCTCGAGGTCGCTCTATCATAAATATCATGTCATTGTAACGTGATACAAAAACATTTATATCGCATGTTCGATATAGAAATTCCATAATTTGTTCTAATACACCACGCCTGGTATAGACATTAATCTTTTTCATAATCTTACTGGCATTGGTGGATATATTTTCCTTATTGACATCATCAAAATAAGTATATAACAATGGTTTCAGCAATTCCGATTGTGTATCCTGGTTAAATTCTCGAAAGTTTTCAAATTTTCCATTTAAATTGAGTGGATATTGATGAGATTTTGGTTCAACGAAAAGATGACGAAGTCGATGAGCTTCTTTGAAATTGCTGTAATTGATATCGTAGATCTTAACAATATTGGGTTTCTCCATATATTTGGATTTCTTTTTGAATTGTTTTAAAATTGTCGAATTTACTGAAAGCAGTAATTGTTGAGGTTCTTCTGTATTGGTATTTATGGACATTGTTATGTTTAGTATTTAAATATCTCAAACTTGCTCGACAAACGTCCTCTTTGAATTTTGAAAAATGACTGAATCTAGCTTTGAATTGTGTGATTTCCCCCAAAATAAACATGATGATTCATAATTGGGGAATTCACGTTTTAAAGCGTGACTTTTGACGCATGAATTTTGTATACATTACAAAACATGCAAGCAATAAGATAGAGGCAAGTAAGTCGCTGTTCACACACAAGTAATTTCAATGTGTCGAAAGTAATCAAAGGCTGTGCTTTAAATCGAGTACACACTATCAGTTTGGACTGTAAGTTTTTTATTCTCATTAACTTCCGATGTAATTAAAAAAAGCTGGTGGGACTCGTTAAATATGAGATATACCATAAAGTAGGCCTATTCCGCCATATTTTTCAAAGAAATTTTAAAAGTCATCAGAAATTTGTGCATTTAATATAATCTTTAAAAAACGAAAATTGAGGGTGTCGTTATAATGGTTCCATAGAGCAATATTCATACATTTTGGTACAAAAAAATTAAAACCGAAACTAATTCGGACGGAATACCCTTATTAAAAATCCCAAATAAATAATAGTATGGTGAATAATACTCGGCATATGCTAAAGGTAAGGTGACCATACGTCCTCTCTTTTAGTGGATAATTATCTGTTTTAACTGGATATTATCTATAAAATCTATGTCCTCTTTCTGTCATCTGTTTCTATAATCTGTCATCAATATTTTTAAAATCTTGATCAATACTTATTTTTGTAAATTAAAACAAATTAATATATACATTTTATTAAATTGAAGTGAAATAGTCAAATAAAAAAATCCGAATCCTAGCAAGCTTACATATCTGTGCAGATTTTTGGTATTTTCAGGATTTTACAAACATTTTCCAACCGAATAATTTTATTTGTATTTTGAGTTCTAATTGGGTAACAAGTTTCCCTAAAAATAATTATTATACGGCATTTACATTAGAACTTTTTACCGGGTTAACCTACTTTATGAAGATTTATTTGGCATATATTCAAAGGAATTGACAATTCACTGGGTTAACCAAATCCGGTACAATGTAAACGTACTTATACCCATACCTTCAGAAATATCAACTTCTCAAAAATATGTATATATTTGTAATCAGTATCAAAAAGACTACCTGCACAAGAAATTCAAACGTTTCGGAGTGGCATTCTTAAAGACATTTAATAAAAAGTCGAGGTATTTTCGGAACTTTGCAGCGCCATATCTCGGGAAATACTTTCCCCCATGGTATAATTATAAAAGATAACAGCAAATCCCAGCTGATTTGATTCCAACGTAATACTAGTTTCAATATGAATTTGACAAATTATGTTTTTAAAAATCACCCAACAGGAAAATGTGCTCCCGTATTCAATTTACTCAATCTGCCTGCTGGGAAAGTTTGAGGAAGCAAATCTTTCTTGAAGGAATAACTCGCTATTCCCAGCATTGTCATATGTGTTACCCATATTTATGGCAATGGCTCAATTAAAGGAAAGATGTGGAAGCGATAGAAATATAAATTTGATAGATTTTCATTCATGTTTTTCAATTCTTATTTTGAGGATTCGAAAATATTCCATTTTCAAAATAAAAATAATATGATGATAATTTGTTTGTTTGTTTACATTTTTCTGTCAAATGAGTTGACACTAGTAGAACTTACAACAACAAATTTCCATGTGGTTGTTGTATCGTTTTTTGTACAACAACACTTGCTGTTACCTTTTATTATTATACCATGACTTTCCCCCTTAAAACGAGTATTTTTATAATTATGATAACGAGCGTATTTATAATTATAATAATGACAAATTTCAAAATGTTGAGGGAGGTGTCCGTGAAATGCATTTGTTTACCATTTTTTTCTATAGAAACGAATTCTCAAGATCTAGGTCCATTTTTTATAAAAACGTATTTTTCAACACAATTCCTGCAATTTATAAAATCTACCTTATTAAATATACTCTGATTAAGTTCCAATAGCTCCATTTAGTGATTTTTTCATTATTGAACACATGAAGCGAAGCGATAAGAACCCAAATAATTCAGAATGCATACAATGCAGTCCACGAATGAATAAAGTAAATAATTAAAGAATATTGTATGAAAATAACCGGCATCTATTAGAAAATATACTCCTTTGAAAATGTATCAGCGATTGGATGAACCAAAAGCGCCCATAACACTATTGGGTAAATACATTAAAGTGTTTTTGGTGGTGGCCCTATATTGGTAGGTTCTTTCTATGATAAAATTTTAAAAACTTCTGTATTACATCGCTTATCTTATCCTAGGTTTGTGTCGATTCTGACAGTATTCGTAAATAAGCATTTATTGAGCAGTGACAGTGTTAAATTGGAAGCACCACTCTTTGTGACCTGGTTCCAATGTGTGGTCAGTGCGCTTATTTGTTTTGTTATTAGCCGCTTGTCGAAAGTCTATCCGACTGTGATCAAATTTCCCGATGGCAATCCATTGGATATTGATACATTTCGTAAGGTAAATATCTATACAAAAATATATCACAGTATCTAAAATTCCAAATATTAAATCATGATATCTGGAAGACATATGTAAGAGTAAAATTTTTTGAACTGAGGGAATATAAATAACCATCGTCAAGAACACCGTTCACTACATGCCGGGCTGAAATTAAGCTCTTGGTAAAAAAAACAACATGGTCAAATTGCGACCACAAACTATCCAAAGCATTGTTGTGCAGTACCGACCTATCTCGCCTGAGCTAAAATCTAGTGACTCATTCATGAAGTGAATAGGGGGAGGAGTTAAGTGTGGAACTGCAGAGATTGAGTTGTTTAACCTGTACATCCCACCGTTGTATAGCTAAACCCCACGTTCTTTATCCCACATAATTTCACCTTTCGAAGGAAATAACCGTCTGGAGGTTGAGGGTTCTTGCATGCCACTGATGAGCTTTGACATGCCGTCGTAGATAATCACAGCAGGGGGACAGCGTTGACGAGCAAATAACTTCACGTTTTACACGATAAATGAGAAGAAATATATGCGATTCACATAGTTCGCCATACACGATCATTGTGGCACTTTGATAGATATCGAAATCAGAATAGACTACACGATTTCATGGCATCTGATTGCCTTACTTTCCTAAACTATGGTATAGCTAATTGACAAATTTTCGAAGAATAAACAAACCATCGCTTCGAAGAGCTGTCCAATACTTCAAATCGTCGGACAGCTGAGATGGATTTCCGAGACATCATAACTGCTACATCCGCCGGTCATAACCTGGGTGAATATATCCAGCAGATGCGACTTCCCAGTAGAGGCGACAATACTTGCGAATGAGCGTGATGAGCTTCATCGTACAACACGCGAAGACCCAAGAGTAAAACAACTCACTCTTGAAGTCAAAAGAGTAGTAGTCGATCATATGTGGAAAAAGTGGCTGAAGATTTACAACATTGTAGTCGAAACAAGTTACTCCCGGTTAAGTCCCCCTCGAATCCAGGAAGGAATGATGATTGAACGGCTGTCACATTTGACGACGTAATGGTAACAGATCTGAAAAAGTGGCCTATGTATTTTAAAAGGCAGTTAATATGGTGCCCCGAAAATCGGAAAGCGAAATGAGTATAATGACAAGGCGTATTAGAATCCTCCGAGTACGGATGTAATCACAATGGTGTGCTTAAGCAACTGGATGAGCCTAAAGTGTAGTATTAAACATTAAACAGCTGAAGCCTGAAAACTTGGCAGGGTTGACCCGCTACTAAGGCCGGACAGGATGACAGCCATCCCTTCTTAAAAATGAAATGTAAGATTCCAGTTGTCCAAATGCAAATGGCTTCTACATATATAGACCTGTGCTGAAAAGTGTTACCCAATCATAATATATGTAGATTACCACCTAATATTGCAAAGAATACTAATTAATCTTCTTCATTTATTTTTTAAATAATCATCCAATTATTTTTTCCCCATTACAGATATTACCACTTTCCGTATTGTTCACCTTGATGGTGGGTACAAATAATCTATGCCTTAAATATGTTGGTGTTGCATTCTATTATGTTGGACGTTCCCTGACAACAGTATTCAATGTCATTCTCACATACATCATGCTGAAACAAAAAACCAGCTTTCCCAGCATACTTTGTTGTGCTGGCATTGTTGCCGGTTTTATGTTGGGTGTCGATCAGGAAAGTCTTACCGAATCGTTTTCTTGGCGTGGTACAATATTTGGTGTTTTGGGCTCCTTAGCCTTGGCCATGTATTCGATACACACAAAAAAGGCTCTACATAATGTCAAACAGGAAGTGTGGCTCCTGTCCTATTACAACAATGTATATTCGTCCATAATTTTCTTGCCATTGATAATATTAAACGGTGAATTGGAAGCTATAATAACATATCCAAAATTATTTGAATTTTGGTTTGTTATAACAATGTTGATTGGTGGCATTTGTGGTTTTGCAATTGGTTTTGTTACAGCATTGCAAATCAAGGTATGTGTAAATGTACATATACATTTTTTTTGCAGATTTTAATTGCAATTTTTAACATTTCAGATTACCTCACCATTAACGCACAATATTTCAGGCACTGCCAAAGCCTGTGCACAAACTGTGATCGCCACACAATGGTATAATGAGACCAAATCTACCCTCTGGTGGACATCGAATTTTGTTGTTTTAGCAGCTAGTGCAGCCTATACCCGGGTTAAACAATTGGAAATGCAACGACAACATAATCGCACAACAACCGCAACAATAGCACAAAAAGCATGATAAATATATGTATATTTTTTATAGTAGTAATAGCATGACAACGAGAAATTAATGAGTATACCTAATAACAAATTGATGTATGTAGGAATAATATATTTGGGATTTTATTTAAAATATGCTTTACTGTAAATATAGGTATATATTTATCTAATTTAGAGAAAATAACAATAACATTATTTCCATTAAAAGCTTTAAAGTATAAAAAAAGACAATGTTTTATTTGGAAACTAACCTAACACTACAAAAATTGCACTTATTGAATTTATCCATTGGTAACAGCAAGTATGTTACGCGCTAATTCCGTTCAAAGCCATAGTATAAGTATCAAATATTTTTATGAAAAATATTTTCACAATACTTATTGATTGAATATTATAAAAAATGTCATTGGATATCCTATTGATAACCAAATATTGCCACGGAATGTATAAAAGCAATAAGGAATATTTCGAGTCGAGTTTAATGCAATTTAAAGGCGAAAAAAAAGAAATTTTGTGTGAGGATCTGTCTCTTCAGAAAAAAATTATTTAAAATTATGGAAAAAAACACATTGCAGATCATCCGGAACCTCTTATGGAACAGCAAAGTCATCTGAATCTTGAATCTTAAAATTTCGTTCTCATTGTGTGCATAACAATCAACGGTGTGCGTTGTGAGTGAGTTTCGTGTTCAAGACATCTGTTTTGCTTATTTACTTGCATATCATTCCGTCGCACAGAGGGTTGAGCGGTAGGCAAAGTGGCGATTAATTTAAAAGATGAACTTTAACTTTAATAAAGAAACATAAGGAAATCAGCTTTTTAAATGAAACACATTGTTGGAAGAAAATATTTCAATTGCAAGTCAAAGAAAAGGATGAAGAGTTGCAGAACATCTTTTTGCCTTTTTGGTGCATTTTTTGACTTATTAAAGAATTTGTAAAATAACTCAGCTAAATAAAGAATCTCAGGAAGCCAGAAATAAGGACTTCAAAAACTATTGGGAGCATCTTTCCAGTAAATTCAGTAGGGAAAATACAATAGAAGACGTTTTTAATAGATTTCTTTTAAGTTCATATCCATTTATTTTCGAGCAAGAGGAAGAGTTGTAAAAAGAAAATACAGCAAATGCCTCAGACTGCTTTGGACTTACTTATCATTGCCCAAAAGGAAAATGATAATGGTGACGAAGATGAATAATTGTATGATTAAGAAGTAAATGATTACTATCAAGTAAATTAATTTTATTATGGTTGTGAAGAAAATGATGATTATGAAATTAATAATACTGTTAAAATTAATGAAGTAAATACAAACCGTACAATTATATTTTTCCTGTAATGGTTGTTTGTTTTATTTTTATGCTATGGTTTTTGTTTATAAATATTGATCAATAAGATATAATAATATTTTCTAATTTAACTTTTTTTAAATATGTGGAATTATGGAATTTGGAGAAAAACATAGGATTTTAATTTAAAATTTTGGGTATATAAATTTAGATTAAATATTTATTAATTTTTATTTTTTAAGAACAATTTGTTTTTTCTAAAAACACATTCAGCCTTATTCTGGATATTTGCTAGGGAGATATCTCGCATGTAAAAAATTTTCGCTTTCACATTCTCGCCTTATTCTGAATGAATAGGGAGATGCAAGGTATATTTTATAAGGTAGCCGCATCGGCCCAGCTGTTGGACAAATAAATGTCAAAAATTTTGTTAAATGTTGAACCAAAAAATTAAAAAACAAAATTATAAATGAAAATCTCCGAAATTCGAATAGATTTTTTGGCAATACTTTTATTAACATTTTTTACAAGAATTTGTGTAAAAAAATCTTGTCAATCTGTTTGTTTTGGCAAAATATTTTTGACATATCAAAATACAACAACCGATGTTTGTTGTAGAAATTCGCCGATGCGTCTACCTTGTATATCTACCTTGGGGAGATGCATAAAATGCGAGATGCGGATTCGAGTTTTCGAAAATGGTGGTTGAAAAAAAGATTCGTGTTGCCATATCGTAAATTATGCTGCAATGTGTGTGGCCATATTGTAATTTAAGTTGCAATGTAAGTTGCCCCATTGTAATTTAATGGTGTAACATTTTTCAATATATTATTTATTGATTTTTGTTATTAAAAATTGTTACTTTTTATTGTTATTTAAACTATATAGCAATACAAATGTGAAATATCAAGAATCCGCTGTATAAACGCTTTGTAATTAAAAGAAAATAAATTAAAGTTTGAAAATATGGCAACCTACAATATGGCATGTGAAACAGCTGTTCATTGTTTTGATGCAATTTGTTGCAACAACTACAATAGATTACAAATAAAAGAACATTTTTTATGATGGCAAAAACACAACGAATAATAGGAAGAAATCTGCGATTTAATTAATTAATTCACAGTTTATTATTAATTTACTGCATAATTGTGTGCCTTTTTATTAAATTCCGATATTATATCTCCCAAATTCTTAAAGTGGCCTGTTATGTTATGATTTGCTTCTTTTAAAAAAAATTGTTCTCTCATAATTTTAAGTTTTTCACTTTTAAGCGGCTCATCAGGCAAATTTGGGCTTTCCATAATTTTTAAAATTTTTTTCTTGAGAGACAGATCCTCACCCAAAATGTCTGTATTTCGCCTCCAAAAATCTAACTCGACTTAAATATTCTTTATTGCCTTCATACATTTCTTGGCAATACTTGGTTCAGCATGCATCGTTATCAAAAGGATTTCCAATGGCATTTTATTGGTTGTTTTCCAGTTAAAAATTTGCTAACTATCATTCATAATATTCTAAATCGTCATAGAATAAGTATTGTGTAAATATTTTTCATAAAAATAGTTATTACTTATGTTTTTGTAGTCAACTCCCTTTAAATTTATTAGCGAAAAATTTCGCACAAAATTTCATTTCATTCTCTCATTCAGAATACCTAATTTTTCCCCAAAGCGGATTTTTTCGCTTTCGAACTTCATTCAGAATAAGGCGAAAGCGAGAATGCGAAAAAATTCACAGGAAAATGTTGTTCAGAATAAGGCGAAGGGAAAGAGCGAGTAAATTCACATGGAATTGACATCCAGAATAAGGCTGATTAAGTATGCTCTAATTTTCAATTGTATTTCTAATTTTCAATTGCATTTACTAATTTATCCTTTTTCTTTGAAAAGTTATAGCGAAAATTGTGTTATAGACCCCTTTTTTCAAAATACAAAAAAGGCCATAAATTATTAAACAACAATTTGTTTTTAATTTGTTTGTTTTTCTAATTATGCTTTTATATGTATGAATATCCATTAATAAAAAATAACAATATTTTAAAATTACGGCTTTCCTGAATTAATCGCCACTTTGCCACTGTGCGTCGCCATGATGCTGCTCATAATTCTATTTAGGGGATTCACCACCCAGTTCGATTAGTCTTTATTCAAAGCAAAAATTTGTGTTGCATTTATTAGTATTCTACTTATACTGATAAGAATAACAGAATAACAATTTTTCGAAACTATTTTTTTTTTCATAAAAATAATAATAGCACCAGTGTATAGTTAACAACGATGTCTTCAATCCTAACAATTACTCCTGCTGATATGCAGAAATTTCAACAAAATCCTGAATGTATGACCAGACCAAAACTTGTGAAAATTTACGATATCAACTATACGCGATTTTCACCAGCCAACAAAGTACGATATCTCTTCAAGGAGCCAAGTCCAAGTGACTATCCTTTAGATCTTAATTGGAATGATGAAACACCCATTGAATTGCAAAATGCTACTCAATCGTATTTGTTCCAACCATTGTTACATACCTATTTTGGCAAAGATTATGACGACGACGAAAGGAAATATAACCTAGAAGTGAATTGTAATATAGAAGATGTTGGAAGACGTCAAAATGATCCAGAAATTATCGATGTATATACCAGACGTGGTATTTTGGAAAAAATCATGGAATTTTGTTATGACAAAAAAAGTTTTTTTGTACATGTAACACGTTGCAAGGGTAAGATTTTTATGGTAGAAAGACCACCGAAAGCAGAAACATTTCAACGAAATCAGCAAAGGAATAATAATCATCATCGACGATTAACTCAACTAACATCCATAGGTGAGTACTAAATAGGACTTATGTCATGTACAAGACTCGATTCCTGGTTGGAGAGTAAACGCTTCTTCTCAAATGAGTTACATGACTGCAGCTAAAGGTTTTGTTACATATTTTTTCGATATTATTGTTTTATTCATTTATACTTTTACGAGTGTGCTCTAAGTTAGAACAGTGTACGGCTCCTTAATGATCTTGGTCTATAAATGTATTAAATTAATTTTATCCTACTATCCGCCCCATTACGCGCCCCTCTCGTGTTCAAAAAATACAAATTCACAAAAGTTTTAAACTAAATCTCTGAAACATAAACATAATTATATTTATTATTTAAAATAATTACCATTTAAATAAACTATTTTTTTATTTTAATTTTATTTACTTGAAAAGACATTTCACCGGAATTATGCAATCGCAACGATGACAACGTATTTCAAATTGCCATACATGAAGCCAATTTGGGAAAATATAATTTACACTATGTTGGAAGGGCGCAGGCTATTAAAGTCACAGAAGAATCCAAGTAAGTATTTATAATATAATATTTATATAATATATTAAATATTTATAATATTTATAGGAACAACTTAAAAGAATTGAAAAAAGCGGAATTCATTTCTACCAAACAAATGTGGTCTACATTACGTTATGCACACTTAAAGCTTTTAAAATATTGGCTACAATCCTATTTATCGAATGTACGAGAATTATATGTGGCATACAAAGACAAGAATGCAATGGTTACAAATCCAATCAAATGCTTGAAAACATGTGATATTCCAAAGGTATGGTCATTGATTTTTTTGTCTACCATTAATAATATTATTTTGTTGGTTTTTTTATATAGACTTGTTTTTGGAAGCCGAGTGTTTGTACAACATTTTTAAATGAATTCCTTGCTA